TGCTGGTGCTGCTGCTGCTGCTGCCGCTGCCGGTGCAGGTGCTGCTGCTGCTGCCTCATCGTGTTTCTCAGGCTACGGATACCACGTGGTGGAGAAATATGCTGCTCCTCGACCGCATTCCTCAAACCTAGCGAATTGCAGTTCCGTTGGAGGTCAAGATTGCTTCCCTCCCCGTCGTGTTGTTGGGCGTGCTCGGTCGATCGACGCCGCATTCCCTCGAAGATCAGGCGCTACCTCGCCTCGCGTCCCGTGGTCGGCTGGGCCTACTGGCCGCTGAACGGCATCCTGCCCTTGTTTATGAATATCAAGCAGCGGCTGATGCCTGTCCTTTTGACTCTGGACTGGTGTGAGATGCCTCGTGAAGCGGTTTTGAGGTGAGAAGCGGCCTGGCGAGTTCTGTGGCTGCAATACAGCAATATTGCCCGCATCTGTTCACTCGGCATGGGGGTCTCCGAGCTTTCAGCTCGGCTCAGGCGCGAAACCTATGGTATTCTGCATGATGACATGCGTACAATCAGGCGCGCTGCGGTTTGTGCTTTAGCGGTCATAGCAACTTTGCAAGCATCCTTGGAAGCTTGCAGACTGATCGCACTGCTGCGGATTTGCAGGCATCCTTGGAAGCTTGCGGATTTGCAGGACTTGCTGTCGAAACGTCTCAACCCTGTCTGACACCAGATGTCGGCGCTGATCATGTAGCTCAGCTACAGATTGGCTGACTAGTGGGCTATGCCAATGTTGTGTAGCCTTTTTGATACCTATTTCAACAAGCTCCATGACGGCGTAACTGTGTCATGGCAAAAAGTCCATGGCATGCAGCTTTTCGCGGGGAGCTGAACGTTTTAATTTCGACAGCTCCTGCATGCCCCATCAGAAAATCTTGTGTGCTTCAGTTGTTGCCGGGGTGCTTGCACACCCAGGCCAGCCATTGCCTGTCACTGTAGCTTTCCCAAGGATTGTCCGGATCCAGCACAGGCCAGATTGCAGTTTCACCAGCCAGTTTTAGCAACCTTCGCTTCATCCTGTGGAAATGCACAGCGCTGGAAAGTAGACGGGATCACACTTCCAGCTTCGTGTAAGCATGCTTGGACAGCAGTCTTGGTGCAGAAGTGCCACAGGGGAGGGGCACAGAGGTAACAGAGAAACCTGTTTCACCTGCAGGGTTGCACAGGCCCTGTTCTCGCCAATGAGACCAATCCATCCCGAGACCAAAAAATTCTGCCTAGGGCTGTAGGTAGGAACGACTACCTCTAGATGTGCCGCAGTGTGACATTCGCGGGGAAGTTGTTTGACATCTCAAGCAGGAGGTAGAAAGCTGTCACGGCAGATGGATTTATGCTGGCAGCCCGCCGCTGTGTTGTTACGGAGTTTCAGACAGTCTCCTGCATAGCACAGTCTGAAGACGGGAGACCCCAGTAACTTCTGGCATTCTAGTAACCACCATTGGATCCATCTTTATCTCCAGTCAGTCGCCGGTCGCATGGCGCAATGGAGATCCTTGAGGATCCCTGGAGCAGCCCCGGCTTTCTTAGCTCAGAGAGAGGCGTAGGAGCGTAGGTTAGGTGAATTTTTGTTGTGCGTAGGGCAGTCATAGGCGTGTTTTTCGGCTTCCTTGAAACGGGGAAACCTGATCGATGGCTATGCAGTCTCTGGCATCACGATCACAGCGAATACCACAGACAGAAAGAAGCACCGTAACAAGAAACGAGCGACGGAAACACTGCTTCCTTGCCGAACTGCCAAACCACAAGCCTCCTGCAATGGACAGGTGACCGGGTTGGTGTTCGAGAGGCCATCCACCGCCTTCCAGCAGAAGGCTCCTGGTTCTCCTGGTCCTGTCGCCTTTCTGGCAGTCTGTTCTTGTCAAGTGGACCCAGGGCCTTCGACCGCTACCCACAACTCGTACCAGCCGCCCAGAGCTCAAACGGGAGTCTTCAGCGTTCCTGCCAACTTGTCCCATCTGCGCTGCTTTGTGAAAGAAGGTATGTTGGCCTGCAAGAGTGGGAGAACATCAAAGCCAGTGTGGCGCATGAGGCGGCGAGCAGTGGGAAAGTCAGGTCGTAAAGTAGGGCTTCGGCGTTTGGGCGTGCTGACGCAAGGTCTTGAAATAGAGGCTCGGCTAATTTTTCTCGCGGGCGCAACCCACCCAGCACGCCCTTTCGTGCAGAGAGTCAAACACAGAGAGGTCGTGTACTGACACGTCAAAAGGATGTTAAGCAGATTTTGTTGTGACGCGATCACTTCTGAGCTGTCAGCTTCCACTTTGCTGGAGCTTTTGGCTGCAAACGAAGTTGAACGTTTGACGGAGACATGCACTGGTCCTTTCTTGTTTGAAACTGCCTATCTTTCATGTTCCGCCGCAGGTGATACCAACAAGGCGCTTCCACATGAGTGACTACAAGGTTCCGGAGGTTGGAGACCTTGGCAGGTTAGCTTGAGCCGCCTTGTGCAAAACCCGCTCAGCAGAATTGGAGGACTGCTCTGCTCTGCGTAGATGCACAGACTCGCATAGTGTGGCTTCGTGAGTGGCAGCCCCCTGCATGGGCGCAGGGGGGTCGCATGTCGTATTGTGGCGGTTTCGCCACGAAATTGGCAACCTTCTCAACATTCATGCAGGCACGTCCAGGCAGAGTACCGTTCGGCGTAACGGAAACAGTGGCGCAATGGTGAAACGCACGAAATATGTGCCTGCTTGATTACTGGCGCAGGGCTGGCATGAGTGGCGCGTCTGCGTTCCCCTCCTCTCTTCTGGCACTGAGACCTTCTGGACCCTAAGGAGCAACTGCTCAAGCAGAATTATGCACTCAATAAGCCTGTGTATCTCAGAGCAGCAAGCATGCCATGCTTGGTGAACAAGCCTGCAAATGCGACATTGAAGGACTGCGCCATGTGCGATCACATAAAATAATAATCACCGTTATTGGCGGTCGCCAACCGCATTTAGGGAACCAACAGATAGGTTGTTGAATCTACGTGTCGCATCTTGGAAAGGTCCTTGTCAACAATGGGTTTCTTCCTTAGCGTAAGTTGTAAAGTCTTCAGTTGTAAATTGTAAAGTCTGAGCAGCGAGAAGTTACTTACCATTCCCATAAATCCCACCAGAAGACTGTATTCGTTCAGGTGGAAGAGTCGCACTCCGAAGCTGTGGCTGGACTAGAGGCCGACACAGAGTAGAAAGGGGTCGAAAGGTGGCCCTATACCGACCACTCTGAGCTTTGCATCAGGGAGCACACTCGGTACCACAGGACATGGCCGCAGGCCCGCGAGGTCACAAGTGACAGTTGGGTCTCAACACTCCTGTGATCCTGTGCAGGACTCGCCGGCGGTTTGCAGCCCAGTGGTCCCCTGGCTCCGCTTCGCCTGCACTTCAGCGCCCCTCCTTCCTCTGAGGCCAAGGCCAATCGGGGAAGCGCTCGCCGAGGCCGGAGCCAACGAAGTTCAACGAAGCAAGTCGAAACACGTTACGCTGGCCGCTGGAAACGAGCCACCTTTGCCGATTTCGGGGGGCGCAAGGCTCCTGCTTTACAGGAGTACGCCAAGCGCCGTTCCAGACAAGCATAGGTCGTTTGAGCGGCTGAAGCACTAGGGCGAGTTTCCTCACCATCTCTTTTCTTAAGTGCCAGGGATGCCTCTGCCTCGCCGAAAGTCGATGCACTGCAGCGCTGGCTCGTCGCCAAGGTGGCAAGAAGATGAAAAAAGAGCTCTTGGCATATTTGGCATGGCGTCCGCATGTCCCTTCCATGAAAGGAGCAGGCGCTCCAGTTCCCGTCGTTGCCCATCGTGCGAGCCTGTCTGATATGTAGCTCTCGAAAAAGACTCCTCTACTGCTCAACAAACGCCCATGAAGGCAATACCAAATCATTCGCCCAGACAGCGGCCAACCAAAGTCTGAAGCTTTTTCTGGAGTTCTGACCCTAATTCCATGTCAGAAGCTGAAGTTTTAGGCTGTGGGCAGATTGATTTGTGCGAGCTCTGCTTCGTCGGGAGCTCAGCTTTTTCGCTGAGTTCTGCGGTACTCGTGGTCAGCTTTGGCTTTTTGCCGTTCCCCGTCAACATGTTTGGAGGAAGTCCATGAACAGAATATGCTTCCTTCCTAATTCCTAACAGGAGCCCAGTTCTGTTGTGATAAGAGATCAACAATCCGCGAGGCACGGATGACAGGGCATGGATGTCCCTAAGCCTGAGCATGCGACACTCCTTGGACCGGTTTTCAGTTGCTCTTCAAAAGCTTGACCTGCCACAACATTCACAAGACTCGGCGAAGGCCGTGCTTCGTGCGATGCAAGTTGAAGCATAACGAAAATCCCAAAACTGGACCTGACGGCCATGGGCCAAGGCCAAGGCACGGGCAAGAGCAGTCCTTGGAAGTACAGGCAGTGTTGTGTGCCTTGTCTTTCAGATGATGTGCTGGCACATCACACCAGAGCGTAGGTGAACACGGTGAACCCGACGAACCTCGCCCCGAAGAGGCGACCCTCTGCGGCAGCATGCAGCATGCCTATGAGATTATCGAGCGAGGCGAGATGGCCCTGTCAGGGCGCCACAAATCCGTGACAAGGCCTTCATGTGGGGGGGGGGGGACTGATGACTGGTGCTGACACCTATCGGAGCTCTGAGTCGCCGGTGTGACTTGTGTACATGCGAGGACAAGGAGAAGTATCCGTCAGGCTGGGCTGTGCTCACCTGTTTCATCGCACCCACACTCCACAGATCGATTTGTGCGACGAGGCAAGCTTATGAGACCCGTGCGCAAAGCTAATGCCGACAGTTGGCAGAAGTGCGAGCCTTTGTTTTGTACCGTGACCTTCGCGGACTAGAAGTAAATAGTACGACACGTGAGGGGTATGCCTTGCTCAGGTTGACGGAGGTCCTCGACAGCCCAGGTAGGATCAATGCGGTGCGCCTGGGAATATGATGCAGTAGGAGGGTGGTGATTTGCGATTGAGCGTTTGCAAACCAGTAAGCCCTGCGCAGAAAGAGTCGCATCCTTCACGAGCATTCAATGTGGTTCCGAAGACGAACCTGAGAGTGGTTTGAAGCGCAGAGAACACCCATGATTCACAGCGCGGCAAATGGCCAGGGCTAGAGCTTCTTCAACTCTAAAGGATTTGCTTTCGCTCGTCTGTACTGTATGGGGTTTGGCCGTGCAGAGACTTGTGGGCGAAGGCTTAGGAGCTTGAGACCGTGATCTCAGATGATCGCGAGCTTCTTCTCTTTCACTCGTGGCCCAAGCCCGGGTACGCTTGTGTCCATTTTACAGTCGTAAGATGTAGTTAGTATTTATTGCTAGATGCTGTCATCTGTGTTCTGTGTGTGTCGTCAGTATGCAAGAGAGGAATGCTCGGCTGTCCAAGCCCTACCTAGCATAGCCTCATCCTGATGAGGCACTCAAATCTGCCAGTGTGTTTCCGAAGCTTTCTTGCATCCGAAGAACGGAGCAGAAACTGCTGACACGCGTCACTCGCTGTGGATGCTTTGCATAAATTGACTGGCACAGCTGATTCGACCGCATCGGAACGGCTCCAAGCATCAATGCTGTAGGACTATCATCAAGCAACTTCCATGGCGCAGTCGGGTTCCGACACGGAGGAGCTCTTGGACGGGTTCGAGCACAACACGCTCTCATTGCGCCGGCTCTTCCCACGCCGGGTGGTGCTGGTGCTTACTGGGGTGGGTCTGCTAGCCGCGACACTTCTGTCACAGAGAGGCACTCGCAGCCTCCGCAGCAAGAGGGAATTTGTCGGCCTCGATGCCGCATGCTTGGAGATGGGCATGTTCTATGCCGATCCACACAAGATGGACAACACGGAAAGGACAGTCGAAGCTTCGGCGGAAGCTTGCAAACAGCGATGTGGAAGCACGCCTGGGTGTGAGCACTTTACCTTTTGGCCAGATGGCGGCTGCTTGTTGACAGATGCGTCGTCTACAGCGAAGGCTGCCCCATATATGTACTCCGACACCGTTTCCGGTCCAGTTTCTTGTCACGAGGAGTCCTCGACATCTGACGCAAAGACATCTCAGGATGAGGCAAAAGGCAATCTTGTAAACACGGTTCAGCCCCTCGTTGCCGCCGTGCCCGGCATTAACGGTACTTTGTGCTCTGCATACCCTGCTTGCATGGCGGTGGGGATCAGCGAAGGAAGCTGCTGTCCGAACGACGATAAGGTGTCTTTGGGCTGCTGCAATGGCTTCCCACCTAAGCTTCCGGAACTGAAGGTAGCAGCTGGGACCGAGTGCAGTGCTTTCCCTGCATGTGCGAGGATGAACATGACAGGCGCCTGCTGCCCCGCAGCAGATGGTGTCCGGCTGTCTTGCTGCGACGAAATCACCTCTGTTTAGTGTGATGGGTGCCGTGAGAAACGTACTCGGTACTCTTACAGCCCTTGCGAAGGTAGAGCAGCTGCAATGACAGCTGACAGCACACGCGCAATCTGCGAGGCCATTCGATGTGACGAGAGTGAGGAGGCAGTGAAAAGTGATGGAGCGAGAGTTGTTTCTGACAGTCTGATACTGCTAGTCGGGGGGAGCTGATAGGTCAGTTCAGCAAGAATACAGAAATGCAACGCATCCTTCACGAGGATCAAGGGAGAGACACTCAACACCGCGTATATAGTCCTGTTTTTTTCTTTCTGTCGAGTATGGCTCCATCCGGCTCCGACACAGAGGAGCTCTTGGATACGCCCGAGCGCAGCAGCCCGGCCTTCCCGCGGCGGGTGGTGCTGGTGCTTACTGGGGTGGGTCTGCTGGCCGCGACACTTCTGTCGCAGAGAGGCACTCGCAGCCTCCGCAGCAAGTTGGGCTTTATCGGCCTGGACGATGCGTGCTTGGAGATGGGCGTGTTCTATGCCGATCCGCACAAGATGGACAACACGGAAAGGACAGTCGAGTCCTCGGCTAAAGCTTGCAAATTGAGATGTGGAAGCACGCCTGGGTGTGAGCACTTTACCTTTTGGCCAGATGGCGGCTGCTTGTTGACAGACTTTTCGTCCACAGCGAAGGCTGCACCTTATCAGTACTCCGACACCGTTTCCGGCCCAGCTTTCTGTGGAGGACGACCTGGTGTGGACGGAGTGATGCCAGGTGCACAGGCAATTGTGGGTGCAGACCCTTATGCAGAAGACAAGAAGCCTACCACCGCCGTCGTTCCTGGCATCAATGGGACCACCTGTTCAGCATATCCTGCCTGCACGGCGGTAGGAATCAGTCAGGGCTCGTGTTGTCCAAACGACGACAATGTGTTCCTGGGTTGCTGCAACGGCTTCCCGGCGCCACAAACGAAGGTGGGGGCCTTGAATATGCTCGCTTTTTTTATAGCTTTTTGGGTCACTCCAACATGCCATTTCTTGTCACTGGACGCGGCTTTTGCTTGTGTCCCTGAGGCCCTGCCGATCCTGCCGGGTGCCCAGTGCGACCTCTTCCCGGGCTGCGTGAACATCACTGGCTCCTGTTGTCCGGCTGCCGATGGTACCAGGCTTGCTTGCTGCGATGCCCCTGTAATCTAAGCTCGGAGAAAGAGCTTTCACACGCATCCCATACACTGCATTCTCGAAACTTCTGCGTTATGCCACCAATGCGCGGCTCATCACAGCCTTGCCGGAGCTTCAAAACATGGGTCAGCCAAACTCTGTCCCGTTTTGAGCATTCGTTTGCTGCTGTCGCAAACCTGAGAATGGTTAGCCAGAAATCCTGTCACCGATTTCATGTATGATGCTCGCAAGTCGCTCAGTGCTCTCGGTGCTCTAGAGCCTGTTTGGGGGCGAGTTGAGTTTTTGCAATGGAGGTGCGCGAATGTGTTCGGAGAGTCTCACATCGACCAAAGTTTCGGTTGAAGGTCGCCTTGCTAACGGCCGGAGCCTCTGTCACTGGAGCCGTCTTCGGCATCCTTGCAGGACGTGGCTTCAGGTGCGTTCCGCGGTAATGCATGTTAATGCTGTGCCCTGGTGCTCCGATGCAAATGTCGCTGCCCGCAGGCGGGACCGCGACCTGGTCAGTGCCACAGACTCAGCACCGGGAGATGGTAGCGGGGGTTCTCTACCATGTCTCGGGACAAGTACGTCCTGTGAAGTAACATATTAAGGCAGGCCCTTTGTGACTTCGTGGCAGCTGTATCAGAGCTGTAGCGGATTTCCCGCGATAGCTGTAACGGAGCTTTAACGGACGCCGTAATGTTGCTGCCACTTGTATGCGAAGTGACAACTCCTTGCTTTCATGTTTCAACGATTCAACGATCGACATGGAGGATCTTCGTAAGTCGATCACATCCAAACTTGCATGTTCCGTGGCCATTTTTGTATAAGAATCGAATTCAAAAGTCTTCTTCTCGCATCTTCCTAATCCCGAGTTATCTAGATCTCGAATGAACCATTTCGGTAAGAAATGCGTGATACACAGATTATGACTTCGAATGAAGTCCGAAACTGCAGACCACGCCACCGATGGAAAGCAGTTGAAGAAAGCTGCGAGCTCGCCAGGGATCTGTGCCGAATGTGTGAAAGCTTTCGTTGTCACGGGGCTGCAACGCGAGCTGTAATGGAGCTATGAGTAAGGGAGCTGTGACGGAAGTTATAAGCTACAGCGGAGCTGTAGGAGCTGTAACGCAGCCGTAACGGAGTGTCACGAATCTGTAACCGAGGGAGCTGTTGCCCCTGATTGCAAAGGGATTATGTGCCGGAAGCTCCTTCTGCAAGGAGCCTGAAGCATTGGTTCCTTATGTGGGAGAGCGCCCAGCAAAGGCAGGCCAGCCACACCCCGTGTCGCTTTGGCTTTGAATGAGTTGAACGATCTGAGGCCCGGCGGCTCGCCCGAGCTTCCGAGGCTCAAAGATATCCTTCTTCACCGTGTCACCGTGTCCGTGAAGATGCTTTTTTAAGCAGGTTTCCACGGAACTGCAGCGCATGTTCCTCGTGCGAGATGCCTTTAGTCGGCAGGTGGTTGCAATGCGATGCCGCATCCCACGTGCCTGCCCCTGCAGGGTCCTGTAGCCCCCAGCCCAGGCGACCACACAGATTGCACAGGAGATGCTCACATTGAGACAGGTGCCCTGTTGTCTGAGTATGAACCAGCTGGGTTCCTGTAGATAGTTCGCTGGCAGTCTCCGACTAAAGGCCCGATCGCTAGAGGTTGGAACTGATGACTGGACTTGGATAACGGTGTTTGAGGATCTTCAGCTTTGTCGCTGTGCCCAGCTTCAAAGCTGCAAGCAGCTCCGTCTGGGTCAGCTGGACGCGAAAGAGGTGCTATGCGTCTGTGGGCAGTCGTGACTTCAAGATGTGCCTTCCTGGCAGATTCAAGAGCACGTGGCCATGCTTTCGCTCCTGGGAAGCAGGCTTGCCCCAGTGAAAGTCATGCTCAGAGACAGAGGCACTACTGATACATCTCAGAAGTCGTAAGGCCCTAACGGCCCTAAGGCGTAAAGGATTGTCCCGTCTGTGTGGGCAAGCTATTGTCGGAGAAGCAAATCCGATAACTGCTGCAAGGCTCGGCATTGATCCAACGTTGCATGGAACCTGGTGCCTGCCAATGTTATTTCGTTCCTGGGGCCACTCAGCCGCCCAGGATAGCTGCCCTTCCTTCCGCCGCTGCAGGGGCAAGGCACAGAAGATCGAAGAGTTCTGTCGCCACATCTTGTAGACCGACCGCTCAGGGCGCCGCTAAGTGTTCCTTGACCGGCATTTACATGTGACCGTCCCACCGTTTTTTTCTGCGCAGCCTTTGGCCCTCTTGAGCTTTGCACCTCTCTGCTGCGTGCTCTTCCCCATATTGCGTGCCCCCGTATGGCTTTGCAATGCTTTGCAGCTCTTCCTGCCCGTGGTTGGGTCTCTCGCCCCCTGCTTGCAGCTCTTTCGGCACAGGCTTGCCAGCTCCTGTATTCTACACGTAGTGCGCGCTGTTGGCGCATCCACTTCCCGGTTACCCTTGCATCCTGAGACTGCCATTGGGCTTGAGAGACGCCGTTCTGACCCTTCCAAATCCTCTATACTCTATACAGAGGCGAAAGGACACTCAAAGAAATGTGGAGGAGGAAGGTGTGAAGGTGGTACTCTGTTCCACCCGACTATCAAGACCTTGCAGATCTCCACGCAGCGCCTCTGCGCATTCCTCCAGTGTGCAGGTGTGGGTCGCCTCCATCAATGCATGTCACCAGCTCAGAGATGTCTGGCTTCAGAATTCTTGTAACGAGGTTTCTAGTGCCCGCTGAAAGGCCCATTGTATGTGCCTGACAGTTCCGCTTTGTCACAGCAACCGTGCAGGCATGCCACTGAGAAGAACCAGTTCGGCAATCAGACATTTTATCAACCACGACTGACAGCCAACTCATTCGTCCAGCAGCAACACATTCCCACAAATCAATTGGATCTAATCTAGTCACTAGTCGCCGAGCGAGTGGCAGTGATGGCGCCCCCGGCAAGTTACAACGACAAGACCTTCGCAGATGTCCCAAAAAAGGACTTGGCTCGAAGATGTTTGGCAGCAGCTCGCTTTGCCACCTGCTGCCCTGCTACTCATTCTTCTGCTGACATCACTTGAGCATCATGGACCCCGATCATCCTTAGAACATCTTGCAAGCAGCTCCAGAGCTTTGATCAGTCTGGCAGGACGCGAAGCCGGGAGTCGGATTCATTCTGTGTTTGTGGGCGTTCTTCATTCTGACCCTCAGCGCGTCTGGATGAAGCCCAGGGCCGTCACATCGCTAAGTCGGAGCACTGCATCCTCGTGCTCAGGAATCGAGCACTTCATCCTTTGGTCATCGACCTCTCCAAGGTTGCCGCAGTGGTTTCAAGTTGGACATTGCCGCAGCTTTATCGCACCATCGCCCCTGCCAGGTTCCCATCGTGCCCGTCGATGACACCCAGGCCGGATGCCGGTGTGCCAAGCCTGCCAAGATTTCATGCCATTTTATGGCCTGCGTCGCTGCGTCAGGCCGAGTATCCTGTAGGCCTGCTGCATGGCTGCACCTGCCCACAGTCTAATTCTAACTGTAACTGAGTAGAAGTTCAGGAGATCTGATAGCTCAATGCCTCTGCAATGCATGCTATGCAGGCACGAGGGTGTGTCTGCGAGGAACGGGCAAGTATTACAAGTGCCTCCCCTCAGCATGCCTTATCGTCTTGTCACACCTTGAGGATGTATTTGTGGTGTGCGTTGAAGGCCCTGGAATCACTTCTATGCCGATGTCGTAGATACGTCAGGGGATACGACAAAGGTGGGCGCGTCATGCCATCGTTTTGTCCTGCTATTTCGCATGTCCTTGCAGCTTCTCGAGACAAGCTGCTGAAGCTGTTGCTCTCATAGGTGAAATACATTGACGGCGGCTACAAGCGCTTCAGCAAGAGACAGTTCAAGAAGTTGTTGATCCGAGTGCCAAAGGCCTGTGACTTTCGTTGCTGTGCTGAGTCGACAGTGGCCGAGTCAGGCAGAAGCGGGCAAGTACGAGGCCGCAGCTCTGCATCTTTGAGCACTCGAGCACAGCTCTGGTGCCAGGTCGGGATGCGGGTCCTCTTGCACGGCACTGGCAAGTGGTCACAAGGAACCCAGGGAATTGGACCCCGAGACTTGTCCCCTCTCTGTGTCTGCAGGACAGAAGTTTCATGCGGACATTGTGGACGTGTCGCGTGATACAGTGAAGGTGCGCTTCACTGACGGCGCCTCGGCTTGAACCCCTCACATACTTGCAACAATCTGCTTGTGAGCATGGGTTCGCCTCCAGGATCCTACAAGCGCTACGGCAAGGATGAGTTCGAGGAAGCATTTGCTACGAATTCGGCTGACAAGGACCCAAACCGTCAGCTCTCGGTGTCTCTTTGCTGACATTCGACTTGTGAGGCCCAGGTGGCCAAAGAGCTTCCCTACAGGCCTGGCTGGACAGTTTGAGATGGGGTTCGATTTCCGCGAAAGCGGAGCTAGGCTTGAGTTTCGTCCTGCTGATCGGACCGGGGGGCTATATTGATTCTGTGGCTGCGCAGAACGTCTCTTTACTTGTAGCAGTTGCAGTAGCGGGGACAGCAAAGAGCACTAGATCCGGTGCCGGCTCAGTACTCTCTCGTCATGTAGGATGGCTTTCGCTGGCGTCGGCTTTGCCCCTCAGATTGCAACTTTCTGGTTGATTTCTAATCAAAACGACCAACACCGCTCTCAAGCGACGTCGACTGTCAGCATTCTTCCCTACAGACCCGGCCCTCCGATCCAAGCAGGTCAGGACCTTTGAGACTTTTGTGACTTGTCAAGTCAGAAGTTTGTGTGTGAGACTCGGACAGGAAGATGACCCCTGTCATCGCGAAGTCGTTCATCTGCATTTTCATCTTCAACCTCCTGTCTCTTCGGGATCCGAGGTGCTGCGAGCAGTCTGAATGCCAGTGCAAAGATTACAGCGAGAACGCATTGCCACGCCAAGACCGACATGCATAGTGAATGTTCAAGAGTCTGAGAATAACAATACTCATTGTGAGGATATCATATTGTGTGTATGCGCAAGCCTCAGGGTTTGTTTGTCGACGCAGGGGATGGAAGGTGGGGCTCATCAGCTGCTACACAGGCCCATCCATGAAGCAACTCGGCTACCTTTCTTGCTGAAGTATTCCTTGCTTTGGGCGTTCGACAACACTTGGGCTTTCTTGCGCAATCTGCACAAGATGCATGTTTCAATGGTGAGGATCTACTCCTACATCGGCCTCCTGTGCGCCACCGTTAGCGACCGGATTCTGACAATTCCGTCGTGTGCTTGTCTGCCAGGTATGCGGTTGGAGATTGGTTGGAGATGAAGTCAATGGGCTCTATGGATGGTGCCGCATACCAGGCCATGGGGGTTCCCTGCGACTCGCCAGTGACAGCCGGGATTTGGCAGGTCCTCCTTCAGTCCAAGCTCATCATCACAGCACTCATTCTGTGGGCCATCAAAGGCACCACCGTTGGCTCGCAAGGTGTTGTGGAAATTCGGGGCTTTCTTCGGACTGTGGGTCACTGCCTGAAGCCAGATTGCCATCACAAAGAGCGGCATGCTAGCCCCAGAGATGTTGAATGCCATTGTGTGATAACGTGCACAAAACGGTTTGTGCGAGCGTAAGAAGAAGAACTGCCTGTTTCGGCGGAGTGGGAGGTGCCTTGTCGCGTTAAGCGAAGGGCTAGCAAACAATTCAAGCTTCGTCCACTGCTTCATAGAGAAGGTCTGTAGCTGGGCTCCCTCATCTGGCACCTGCCTGCTTCGACGATGCAGGCGACAAGGCCAAGCAGTCAAAGACGCAGTGGTCCACCCTGACGACACTGACTATTGGCACGCCTGCTAGCATGCCATTTTGTTGCTTTCGCTGCGCTCATCAACCTGGTTCTGCAGCAACCACGGAAGGCATGATTATCTTCATGGTTGCCGAGTCTGGCGCTTCTAAAGGCAGCACTTCCTGAGCTGCACTTTGCCGACTCACTCTTGTACTCAGCACCGGATGCCTGAATGATTGAAGATGTCCGGATCTTCGATAATGAAGTCCCCGCCAGTCAGCAGCTAGCTCACTGAACTCGCATGAGTCTGCTTTCCGGTCTCAGGCGCCCCTAAGCAGAGGCAGGCTGCTGGTTTTCTCGGGACTTTCTTCGTCTTGATGAAGGCCTGGGCTGGTTGCGTTCTATTGAATTGGAGTCTTTGCAAATTTCGGGTGCGAGGGTGCTTTGACAGGTCCTGATCTCCTGCTACGGCGCCGTCGTGACGGACAAGGAGCTAAAGCAGTACAAGGACTGACAGTGGGTCACTTTTCAACTTCGGTCGGTAGCCAGGGGGAGCCCCCCCCCTGTAAGATTGACTCATCAATTGATTTAGTGGCAGGAGGAAGGGGGGGTCCCCCCCCCTTGGGAGGTTTCATCTAGTTGACCTTGTCGCTGTAGATAGTTGGCATCAGACTGCAGGCTTTGAAATGTGGCTGTCTTCGTGGCAGAATAGATTTTAGGGAATAGGCGTTGCAAATTACCTCGACGTACAATGAGATGCATTGCAGAGTAATCCCTGACCAAGCACACCTGCTTTGCTCCCTTGCTGTTCCGGCCTTGCTCTAGCGTTCGTAGCCCAGCTCTCGAGTGCACAACACATCAGTTCGACTGTTTCGAAGCAGATGAGCAGGACTTGCCACTCTACGTTCTGATCTTAGCTTCCTTCGCACGTTTGAGAAGTGTCATGAGCTCTGGGCCCGGAGCAGCCGAAGCGAATTCAGTCCGTGTGTGCCGCAGTCAAGAAGTGACACCTGTGATCAAGCCCATGCCCTTGTCGTCACTTCCAGCATCGTAGTGGAACTGCCAAGTGTAACATCTCTTTGCTCTCGGGGCGGGCGGGGCCACTGCCAGCCGTGCGAAGCGGCTGCTCCAAAGTTCAGGTCCAGCTCAACCAGATGTTCTTTTCTTGGGGCGCTGTTCTCAGAAGGACTCGGAACATCCATTCGTCCATGCAGTGTCAAGCCACCGCCAAGGTGTGTTCTCGCTGATTTTGGCTGCTATGTTCGAACCGAGAGTTACCTGGGTGCAGTGAGAGAGTGCCGCTGTCAATTCTTTCACTGCGCTGGCTGTGGTCGCATGGGCAGGTTCTCATTTCGTCCTCTGCATTCTTCCACGGGTGGAATGCAGCAACATGGCTGGCGGCACTACTGCAGACAGACGGTGTAGGGTTCAATCAGCTTCAGAGATTCTGGTTGGCGACACCACTAGAGCGGTTCGGAACAGCGTTCACTACAAGAGCAAGGGGAAATTCAACACCTTGCATTAGGCGAGCAGCCGGCAGCGAAGATTGACCTTGCCACTAAAGTCACAAAAGTTGAAATCCACCACCAACTCTGCTTGACCGGTACAAATTTTGATCTTTGGCCCAAGGAGGATGTGCTGTCGTATTTCACCAGAGACCACTGTAGATTTCGACCTTCGCCAGTTTGTCATTCTGAAGGTCGTGCTGTCTTTTTCGGTGAAGACCGTCCTGACCATGACGCTCCTCAAGGCACGGTCGCTCAGCATGATTCCGGGTTTGGCTGGTGCAGGTATGTCCGGGTGCCGGTGATGATGCATGTAAGCCAGACCGTGCAGAACATGTGGTGCCACTCAGATGCAGGTTCTGGACTCTATCATGAAGACTATCGGGGAGGCGGTAGCTGTTCTCGCCACCATCTTAGATGCGACAGCAACCTTTGCACAGTACATATGATATCGCGGAGCGCTCCTGCTGTCTGTCGCTTGTTTGGAGCATACGCTGGACGGCCGGGGAGCGAATTTTTCTGACTTGAATGCAGAACATCCGCCCTGATTGAAGAAGGTCATCTACGCTTTCCAAGTGTTCTTGCCCTTCTTCGGCAAGGAGTTTGAGGCCAGTCGCCTTCCCATCGCCACATGACGGGTTGGCACGTGAAGTGCGGCCGAAGCGCCCTGTCCCACTACTGAATCCGTGTGATGAAAGCTAGAAGTAGCTGGGCATTATCTAGGTGCTGGAGGCAGAGGTAGTTTGACTCACAAATCAACCACTGGCCTGTGGCTCCGATGTGTCAGAGTCATGATAACGTGATTTGTCCGAATGGCAACACTGAGAACGATCTCTGTCGGGCAGATTCAAACCTTTCTGGCGATGCTGGCAGTGGTGATGACGGTGCTTCGCTCGGCTAACAGCTGACTAAGGTCAAGCAGCAAGCTCTCAATCGGCTCATACGGTGCGAAGACTCCTCAAGATTGTTCGGTGTTTCGCTATAGGTGACCACCTACATGTTCCTCAAGGCTCGGTGTATGTGGATATGGTGCTATCTTCATGCACGCCGTGACAGGAGGACAAGCCGAAAGAGATCGAAGCGAAGGATCCTTGCGAATTGTTTGAGCTTCCATCGGTAAAAGCCCCGCTTGCACAGTATGAGACCCATGTCCTAACGATGCTGTGGTGTTTCCGGCTTGCTTGCACTGTTTTTTTTTTCACATGTCGTGCTTACCACATGAAAAGTAGTATCTCATAACGTTGCCGTGCACGAGTGTTCCTCGACATCTCTGTTTTGCCTCGCTTTGTCCCAATGCGAGTTGTAAGATATTTGAAGTGCATATTTTCCCCGCTCTCAAGTGTGCTGTTGCTGCTGCCGTTGCTGATGAAGATTGTCATTGTAGTCATCTGTGCTGTTTTCCTTGTTGTGGTTCCGGTAGTGCTTGTGGTGCGGTCGGCGTTTGTGGTCGTGATCGTTGCCAGGCCAAAAGTGAAGTCTGAGCGGCTTGAAGGGCGTTTCTGGCAGCGTTTCACCACATGCCGGAGAAGTCGACAGGCTTGGATCTGCCAGCTTCAAGCACTGGTGCGATCTCGCGGGGGTGGCGGGACTGCGGGGTCATGGATCTACGCGTTCCCCAGATTCAAAGACTCGCGCTCCAGCTTGGTTGCAGAAGCTGTGCTTAGCTGCATTCCTTGCAGCCGAGGGGCTGGACTAGCAGATCTGTTTCAATCGTTTCATAAAGCTTGCTGCTCTGGCCCTTTGGCAGCTTTAGACTGGATTCGTCTCCTGAGCGGTGGGGTACAGTGCGAGAAAAAGGAGCGAGTTGACGAGGCTCGCTGAGCTCGCACAGTGGATGACTTGGAGACGTTGTGCGAGGTGCTGGAGCTCTTTGAGCGCAGCCTTCAGAGCCACGAGATCTCTTTGGAGGGGAGGCATTCATTGCGCGGCTCGTGTTGCGGGGGTAGTGTTGATGTACCATGTTTTACCGCCTGGCGCCAGGCTTGCAGCGCTCGCAGACCGAGAAGGCCTTCTGGAACCGCATGGAGGAATAGAAGCAACCGCAACATCACAACTTCCAGAGCAATGTGCTGCCAAGATAAGCAACTTGGGCCTGCACCAAACTCACAACCATTCTAGAAATTCTAGACCCATCCGGCTGCACTATGCTGCTATGCTTGTTGAGCAGAGGGCCTCTCTTCCAGGATTTCCCACCGTGGCTGGTCTCAAGGCTGGCGCCACCTAGCGCACCAACGACTGGGAATAGGACGATGGTGATACTGTAACCTGACGGTGATTTGACAGCTTTGCAGGCAGCGGACGTCGCGAGCATTGAGAGCTCGGTGCCGCGACGTTGGTGCCCCAGCTTTTTGCGGAAGACCGAGCTGATTCATGTTTGCATAGTCGCGAGGTCCTGCCTTCCCAGAGGCTTCTGCCATGGCCCTCAGCAGACACGTTCGGCCGGGCTGTTCGTATCCATTCGCTTGTGCAGGGTAGACGGCACCGTCTTCTTTCACCCTGCATGCGGAGCAGGTCCACGTCGCCCCGCCTGCCAAGGATCTGCATGAAGACTTTGAGGGCTGCCCTACTCTCATCTTGACGCACAAGGCTCACGGAGTGCAACATCGAGCCTTCACTGAGTCGAACTACTTTACAGTAAGACGAACTACCGTCCTTCACCCGTGCAAATGGTGTAGCATGTGGGTGTAGCACAGACCCTGGATGGTTGTGCAAGTCAGGATTCCGATGATGAGGCCAGCAGCACATCGGAAGAGCGGAGCTATCTTTCAGGCCCGGCCTGGACAAGCAGCCGCGCTTTGCAAGTGTGTGTGAAGCTCGAGGCCGAGGGCCCTCACCAGTTGTTGAAGAGTTGGTCGACGAGGAGAGCATGAGTCTGCTGTCTTTGATGGTCAAGCCTTCCCCAGTCTGCAGTGTGCGCAGGAGCCCGAGTTTGCCAGGTCCTCAGAGACCTTTGCCCGACTCTCCGGGCTGCGCCGAGCCCAGTGAGGTGAATTTTTGGGAGAATGATGCTGAGACCGACAGCAAGCAGCACTGGCCTTGCCACGCACGCCTGCAGCAAAAGAACTGCATTCTGAGCTAGTTTTGAGGCTAGCCCTTACGAAGCCTTGCGTGAAGCAGGACGAGCAGCCCTAGACCTCGCTGAAAGACTGATCTGCTGCCTCGTCCGGACAAGGAGATCCAAGAAACGGCGCCGAAGCGTGGCAATCGCTTGGACCTCATCCTTCGGACCCTCGTGTTCGCACTTAGACCCTTGTTGAAGTTTACAGAAGCTACCAGGAGGCTCAGTTCCTTCACCTGCCAATTCCGCGGACAATACAGGGGACGCCGAAGAGGCAGCTGGTAGGGAGTCAAAGTGGCGGTACTCACGTTGAAGCACGTGCAGTCCAAAGATCCTGGAAAGCTTGCAGCCCTGGCCCTGCTGCAGCATGCCAGCGCGAAGGACTACAAATCTCGCGTTGACGACTTGACATGATCTGCAAACGCCTGCGCTCTCCCCAAAGGACATGTCTGTGATCAAAGGGCTGAAATCTGAGGATATCAAGAAGGCTTTCTGCTTGATGGCACGTGTTTGCTCTAACAGTCCCAAGAGATGGCAGGGGCTCGGAGAGATGCGCGGTTTTGACACCAAACTGGCTCAAGGGAAGGACTCTCTGGCTGTAGCACGGGCATAAAAGACTGCGAAGCGCCATGGGGATCGACATTATTGCAGGCGGCCGTGTGAAGAACAAGGTGCGCACAGCAAAGACCGAGAACCCTTACATCCTCCTGCTGTGCAAGCTGTACAAGTTCCTTGCTCGCCGGACCGACTCGAAGTTCAACAAGGTGATCTGCAAGAGGCTCAACATGTCTGGCCGCAATCGTCCGCCCCTGTCCCTGTCGAAACTTGCGAAGCAGATGGCCAACAAAGAGGGCAAGACCGCAGTTGTGGTGGGCACGGTCACCGATGACAAGCGCTTGTATGATGTTCCTTCGATGTCGGTGTGCGGCCTGCGCTTTACCGAGACCGCCCGTGCTCGCATCACTAAGGCTCGAGATTGGTCAGTTGAAGATTGTAGCTGAGCACTTGTTGGCCGTCGTCAGGCCGGTGGTGAGTGCATCACTTTCGACCAGCTGGCCATGCGCTCCCCATTGGGCAAGGCGCTCTTATCGTCACCAGATGTGTCCAACTCAAAGTTGGATCCGACAGGGCACGGTGCTGCTGCGTGGCCCCGTCAAGGGTCGCGAGGCCATCGCCACTTGTGGAGTCTTCTATGCGGCTCCCTGCCTCGCTCCCTCTCTCTCTCTCCCTCTGTCACTCTGTCTCTGTCTCTCTCTCTCTCTCTCTTTCTCTCTCTGGGTCTCTCCGTCTCTTTTTGCCTCTCTGTCTGTTTACATTTGTTCCAAAAAGTTTGGCCTGACCAAATATGTCAAGAAGCGTCGCCGTGAGGCAGAACGCCACTTCGGCAAGGCGCCGGGCGTGCCGAACAGCTCCTTGGAGACAGTGTGCGTGCATTTGCCGTCTGCCACCTCTATTTGCCTTCTGCTACCGCAATGCTGCCGCTGGCCGTTGGGAGATGTCAAGGCAAGACTGCGCCGTACGTTCGCTCAAAGGGCCGCAAGTTCGAGAAGAGCCGCGGCCGCAGGAAGTCCCGTGGCTTCAAGGCACCGTCGCCATTCTTGTAACAGCTCAAGGTTGACTATTCCAGCGACACCCAAACTCATGCCAAACTGGCAATCGTTGTCAAAGATTGAAGCCTTTGTGCAGGTGTAAGCAGCTGCAGCCCACATCAGCAGCCGCGACAGCCAAGAGAAAAGACTGCACGCTTTGATTCCTCGTCATGGATATCATATCTGCACTGTGCTCGGAACATGGTATGACTGGCGTGTTGTTTTGTCACAGGTTGTGGCCCATCGCAAGAAGCATGGACCATTACGCAAGTTGGACGCGTTGCCGGGCATTCTGGGGCCGGAGCACTCGGTTGTCAAGCATGGTCAAGCAGAGAGCAAAGTGTGGATGAGCAGTCCTCATTCCAGCTGTTCGTGCAATGTCTTGGTTAGGCATAAGTTCCGATGCTGATTGGATACGAACATGTCTGAACCTGTAAACCGTGATTTATGAACTCAGTAATTCCAGGAGAAAGTGCCGCCTAGCGCTGTCATTGTTTGTTTAACGGTTTGTGTTTTACGCCGTTCCAAGTCGCAGTCTTCAAACGTCAGCCCATGCTTGTGCATTGCCGAAACTCGGTGGGTTGGAATGGTTTCGGAGTTTCGGTTGCCTCGTTTGCCGTTTGTGTTTCTGCTGAAAAGCTTACACCCAACAGGTTTCCAGGTTTCACCCTGGGAACCTTTTCGCTGATAGGTTTGATATTTACTGCCATCCCAGTCGCTGCCGAAACCGTAAGAAACAGTGCGCCAATCATTATGGACACAGCTCTGTATGTCCATGCCGTGTCTGAAACTGGCGATGGCAAGTCCTGCCGCAGCTGCAGACACTGCTTGCATCTTGCTTACTTGCCGCTTGCTCACGATAACTGGCACCACTAATCATGGGCTTTGGCACGGAACGACAAAGCAAACGGCGCAGGTCTGCATATCCGTGTAGGATGCCCGCAACTCACATTCCAAACGAGCCCAAGACAAAACCCGGTGATGCTCGGCATCACAGTCTTTCCGACGGCCGAGTCTGCAGCCGTGACAGATTCTTTTCCTTCAAACCGTTTATGGTAGTTTAACGGTAGTTTCATTAGCAGCGGTCGCCCCCAGAAGCTGCGGACGAGTTCTGCTGTGAGACAGACAGCTGCACCCCAGGCGGCGAATCTCAATCAAGAAGCTGACGATCTGATCGATGATGATGTTGTCAGGTGCATGTGACTGCATGAGGGCCAGGGCCATCTCAGTGTCTGCTTTCACCGCACAGCTGCTCATCAGCATGCAAGAAGTGAGTCGAATGGCTCCTCGGTGCGCGTGGAACCTTCAAATTCTGCAGGTAAGCAAGGGGCTTGATCTCCAATGCTTGCGTTCTATGTAGCGGATGCAGATCGGCATGAATTCGAGTATCGGTCACGCACAACACGTATCAAAGGTTGACAGGCACAGCGGCATCGTGTTTGTGCAAGTGCACGACCTTAGTATTGCACAACTGAAGCCTTGCACGGCTGTTAACTGATGCAAAGCCAGGGAAGGCAGTGTGGAGTGGGGATAAAACTGTCGGGCGCAGGAGGGGCTTCGAGCTTTGGACAGGTTTCGGTCAGAGGTTGGATTGTACCGTCGCATTTTGTTCCGGGACTTCGCCATGTTCTACGGATTTCGGTTCCGGTGCTCAGTTGCTTCACAGCGTAGAGACAGTTCCAGTCATACTACTAAAATGTTACATGCAGTTCGAGGAAGAGGAGGAGAAGGCTCTTCAGCTCAAACCTGTTAGCTGCCTCAGTGTCTCTGTTAAGCAGGTTCAAACATCGATGTTTTACATTGCCGCTGGATGTCGTCGTGGTACTATGGGAAAGCGGTTGTTCTTAAGGGTCGGTTCCGCAGATGCCAAACTGTAAGCAGAATCTTATGCCAATCCCATCAGTACAACATGCTCTTCGGCGCCCCGGAGCCGAGAGGAACAGCAACAAGGTCCAGGCCCCATGTCTTCCGTTTGCGGCTTTCGGACGGGTCTTGAGGGAAGGCTGGGGGTTGAGAGTTCAGGCTCACGATTGCGTGGACTCTTTGTGGGCTCAAGCTGCAAGGAAAAGCGCTGGCCCATTCCCGTAAATTTTCGTGGTATGGAAGCAGCACATTCATGGGCGTGCAGTGCCAAGACGCTGTCCAATAGAGAAGTCGCTGCAAGACTTGTTTCGCTGAGTGCCAGATCGTTGTGTCCGACAGCGAGTGCTGCCACGGCCTTTCGAGTGGGGAGGCGATGTTTGAAGGACTTGGAGGGTGTTTTGGCAGTTGCGATGAAGATCCCGCGGGCCGCTGAAGCACAGAGACTGCGCGTTTGCCGTACACGCTCCTGCACACGACCCTTGGTTTCTTTCCAAAATGCTGACACGAAGCAGGCACGAGAGCGAGAAAGACTGGAGACCGCCAAAGAACGGCTAGCACTGGGAGGCATTGATAATGCGAAAATCCAGAAAGCGGTTTCGGCAGATGATGGTGGAGATTGGCCGGCGCCTTAGGACTGGAACTGAGAACTAGTGCGTTGCCGCATGGTACGGCACTGTCGGACGGTCGGACGATTTGCCAAGAGCATCAACTGTGCAGCATGAACTGCAGGCTCCCAGAACCATAGATTGTTGGCTTGTGTCGTGTCCTGTCGTATCCTTGTGCGTTTGGCTTTGACGTTTCGAAGTATTAGAGCAGGCAAGGACTGCAGTTTGCCGATGACTGTGCCTGCTGAATCAGACAAACAGAACATGACTCTCCACGCCTGGTTTGCGGCCAATCTGCCTTCGGCAAGAGGAGCAGATGCAAAAGGCCACCGTGTTCGCAAGAGTGCCGCTCAGAATGAGGCATGGGTCGCACTCCCTGGCACCAAGGCTAGTTCGCATGAATCTCGAAGAGTCCAAAGTGAAATCAGAAGATTCAGGCATTTAGGAAGCTGCAAGATTCCCGAAACGAGGTTCGCGGCATGTGTTCCGCTCAGCTGCCTTGGCAACGATGATGACATGCGCAAGTTCATTTGGCAGCTGTACTGGCTTCGACTTGCCAGTGATGCATCTGGCAGCCAGGCTGGATCAGCAAAGTGAAGAATCCTCAGGCAGTTTCGTGTCAGCAGTTGACAGGCTTCTGCAATGGAACCTCTCGCAGCTAGCGCTCAGCTCCGCATTCTGCGAATCTTTGGCTCGGGAACTCCTCCGGCGTTCCCGCTGCGACCTCTAGATCCCGATGGACTACAGGATGCAAGTCCAAGAAAAGATTTCGCAATGTCCGCTCTACTCTGAGTACACGAGCACTCGCCATGTCATCATGTAACACTCGGATAACCCCCGAGTTCAACATACATTTAATTTCCACCGTCAGGCACCAAGCATGTGAAGTCTGTTGAATCATGACGCCCAGTGCAGGGTGACGGAAGGGAAGAATGTGAAGACATGCACTGCTTTGCGTCGGCTTTTGCTACGCAAGTTGTTATACCTTTCATGCTGCCATGATATTCAACATTCTCATGCTATTAGCACGTAAGATGCCATGTGGCAGTAATAGCAGTCTGCGTCGCAGTGGCCGTCGTAGTGGTGGTAGTAGTAGTAGTAGTAGTAGCAGCAGCAGCAGCAGCAGCGGCAGCAGCAGGAGTAGTAGTAGTAGCAGTAGCAGTAGTAGTAGTCGTAGTCGTAGTCCTAGTCCTAGTCCTAGTCCTGGTCCTAGTCCTGGTCCTAGTAGTAGTAGTAGTAGTAGTAGTAGTAGTAGTAGTGGTGTTGTAGTAGAGTAGAAGTAGAAGTAGAAGTAGAAGTAGAAGTAGAAGTAGAAGTAGAAGTAGAAGTAGAAGTAGAAGTAGTAGTAGTAGTAGTAGTAGTAGTAGTAGTAGTAGTAGTAGTGGTGGTAGTG